TGCAATAAGAGACAAAACAGGACAGACAGCAGTGCAATAAGAGACAAAACAGTGCAAAACAGGACAGACAGCAGTGCAATAAGAGACAAAACAGTGCAAAACAGGACAGACAGCAGTGCAATAAGAGACAAAACAGTGCAATATAAATACAAGAAACACATGCACTGGAATTTCACCTATTAAACATTTGCATTGAAAATACACAATTTAAAGAAAAGCAAAAATAAAAAAAATACAATTTAGGATGTATGGCATTACTCTATAAGTGCATACTTTACATAAAACACAAACCCACTCTTCATTAAATACTGTCCAAATTGTTTATGTTAGGAAAATGTGGGATTCACTTCAGATTTGAACTAAGCACTTACTCTGTTGATGGTTTCACCATGTAAGTGGAGCCCAGTGACTGGGCGGCGGAAGCTAAGCCCCGCCTTCACCATCCACCCTCCAGTGGCATTCGCCTGATTACCACCCAGGCCGGCCTGTACCACATCCCCCGGGACTCACTGTGGGAGAGGAGGGGCTCTGGGCCAGCACTTCATCAGGGTCCCGGGTCCGTTCATTCTTGTCCTGCTCTTGGTGAAGTAGAGAGAGTCCGGCGGCGATATCACTGGGGACCAGATCAGTGTCCTGTGGGGGAAAGTGACAGGGCAGCGTGTGGCTCAGTGGGCTAAGCCGTGTGCCTGTAATCACAAGGTCACCGGTTCAAGCCCAGCCTCAACGCATCTGCGGCTCCTTGAGCAAGACCCTCAACCCCCAGCTCCCTGGGCACCACTACAGGTGGCTGCCCTTCACAGACAGCTTGCTCTACAAAGAGCAAGTTGAGGGAGGCGTGAAAAAGAATTTCCCCACAGGGATTAATAAAACGTAAATTATTATTATTATTAAAAAGCATGTTAGCCACACCGATATGGAATAAACAGCTGCTTAAAAAAGCAAACATACCACAGAAGAGCTCATCTCATTAAAGGTTAATCTGTCAGACTATATCACTGTACTGTCCTCAGTCTACATCTTTTCTATAAATATATGAAAATGATAGCAAATTAATCGTAACACATTTAAAAATAACAGCCCATACCTGAAGTGCATTAAGGTTAACATGCATCCGATTCCACACATAGTCAGTAAACAAATTATTAATATTTCACTGCCTGGGCACAGCTCACATGGAGCTGAGAGACATCAGTGGCTGTGGTTGTTTTCTCTGGTATTAATGGTAAATCAGTTCTGAGTTTATTTTATAGTGCTACACAAGGATAATGCTGACGCACTGCTTTCTATCTGGTGTCAGAGAATGACTAGTCTTAATGTTGTCAGAGCAGTGTTGTAATTTACTAACACCTAGTAAGGACATGTGAAGGGAGGGTTATTCAGGGACAGGCGTGGTGGGGAGGTTACACAACACACTCCCAAAGAGCTCACCGGACAGAGACGCAGACATGAAAGAAACAGGACACCTAAGTAATGAAGTAGCATGAAGACAATTCTTTGTGAATATCAAAACCTGCGTATGCACTGCTAGCTGTGCGAAAGCCAAGAACTATTCCTATTTGTTTGTTACACATTATTCTATTCACAGACGTCCTGCAGGTAAATATTAATTCATCTGTCTCCAATGATAATTAAGATAATTATTAAATTATGAGACTTCTAGATTAAACTTATGAATTCTCTGCAGTGCATCATGCTAAACTAGGGGTGGCCAATCATATCCAGAAAGGACTGTTTGCGGGTTTGCGCTGCAACTCCCTAATTAGATTATTAATTAGAGGACTTCCCAAAGTTCACCACCACTCTGTAGCCCCAATCAGCAAATTTTGCCCACCCGCCTGCCCCCAGTCGGCAATATATATACGGTATTACCATAATACCAGCCAATCACTGGCCCTCCCGAATGCCCCTCATCTGCCTCCCTAAAATCAATATCAAAAGGTGGGATGTCTGCATAATGCCATTCAGAAATGTCATTACATTAAGTGACCTCAGCTGAAGCAACAAGTGGTGTATTTTTTTCCCTAATTTTCTAAAAATAAATTAACAAAATTAAGTCACACCACATGGCGCCGAAATGGACCGCTCATGGGAGCTTTACTTACACAAAAATGTTCTGAGGGCAGAAAAACAAAAAAAAGATAACCAATAAGACTGTAGAGGAGCTGGGTTCAAGCAACTACAGGAGGTACGACCAACCAATCAGATGTCTTGGTCCCGCCTCCTCTAGTAAAGTAAAACTCCCATGTCTATTGACACCCATGACAGGGAAGAGCGCGCTGACCGAGAAGAAGCTGCTGAAGAGTTGGGCAATGCTAGAGAAGGCCGCCCTGTTGCTGTCGTCCTGGGGCAGGCAGCAGCAGAGCAGGCGCAGCCGGCACTCCCAGACGCGCACAGCCAGCGAGCGTGCCGTGTACAGCAGCTGCCTCGATCCACTGCTCTCCAGGTCCCGCGCCACTGGCTCGACACTCGCCGCGGCCCTGGACCGCGGGCTGCCCAGCGGATCAAACACAACGACCACTCCAATTGTTGTGAAAAACAAGATGACCCAGCTGTAAGAAGAGGAAGAGGTGGGCAGATACAGAAAGGGATATAAAAAAAAAAAAAGAAAAAAAAAAAAAGAGAAAGCAAATTACAATTTAATAATCACTACAGTACCCCAATTTAGTCTTTATCTATAAAATTGAAAGATGCTAAAAGTTATTAGGCTAATATTATTGTGGCAAGACAAGTTAAGTAGCTTAACTGAATGAATTGAATGCAATTAATCAAGTTGTGGCAATATTGTAGCAACACGCCTCCAGGGTGGCGGATTTGAATCTGATCCCGTTTCTGAATTCACTGAATATGCTCTTCCTATGTTCATAAGGGTTTCACCTCTCAGTCAGGTAAACTGGGGTCTCTAAACCGCCTTATGTGAGGATGCCCTGTGAGCAACTGACCCCATCCGCAGTGTTCCCCTGCTGTACAGTCGGTATTTTCTGGAACATGGTGTGGATTACAGACTCAGCGTGTGGTTATTGAAGGGGAGAGATCAATGAACCTGAGCTTTAATATGGTGTCTCAAATGCCCATGTGATATCGTAGTCTGGCTCCACCCACCTGGCAATGACTGCACCAATCACAGCTCCAACTTCTGCTTCTCTACAGCCTTGACTGTCATCCGATACCCATATGGCACCAAGACATGCCCATGTGAGCTCAGGAAAATACAGCAGTGCTCGCAGACAGAGAAGTGCGGGGACAGCTCGCCGAGGCCCCGAGTTTGTGATTGTCCCTAAACAAAAGATAAGAAAAAAATGATCAAACATTCATTGGAATAAAAACAAATCTGCCATTCTAAAACATGCTCCATGCAAAACATGCAAAACATGCAAAAAAATATAAGTTCAAATAGACTTACCCTGAGCACTGACATAAACAATTGCAATGAGTGATAAAATTATGGCGGCAAGCAGAACCAGTAGCACAACAAGGTATGTGTGTAGAAGTGATCCACCAGGGCAATCAAACCGGCCCTTATGATTTGTGTACAGAACCAGAGTCCCAATCCACCTGAAATTAAAGAACGAGAGTAATGAGTACAAATACACACTGTGATGACAAATATTGTATGAGCATGGGCATTACGGTAGGGTTGTGACCCCCCAAACTATTATGTCGTCCACCTAAATTGATGGACCCTCAACACCTCCCATCATGTTCAAACCAAAGTTACGCCCTTGTGTATGAATCATGAATTGCGATTAACGAGACATCACAAATCAGAATATTTGCATGCTATTATATGTTTTTAAATCGAGTATTGACCTTCTTGTAAGGTGACCACTACGACATACTTTAATTTAAGTACGACGTTCAACAAAACAAAGATTAAACGCAGATTTTTTAAATATATATATGAAAATTGAATTTGTTATTACTCGTGAACTCACCAGATAACTCTAATAAACAGCTCGAAGGCTCCGGGGAACACGAGATCGTCGCTCGCAATAACCCACCGCCGGCCAAACACAACCATTCCCGGCATCCTGACTCACGATCCGCCGCCTCTAGCCTTATCACTAGCTGAACACCACAGGTAAACTTCGCCTCTCCTTATTCAATGACCAGCAATCAAATTAAATAACTGCAAGCGGTATCATGCAAGACGCAACACTTCCTTAGTGATTTCACTACTCTCGCCCGACACATGGAACTAATTTTTCCTGGAACATAGCTAAGTGATTACGACATCGGATGTGTCGCATTAGCAGTCAGATAGCACTGAATATTCTCAAGCGAATAATACAGGCAGCGTCGCGTGTAGCTAGCATGTCAATCCATAATTTGGATCAGCTTTCCAGTAGTTACCAACAACATCGCATCTGTACACAAAGAGACTAGTATAACCAGCTAAGAACGGGGTCTCGCGTGCTGTCAGCCCGATCGGAATATTTCGCACATTCATACTATTTATGGAGCGCAACTGAAATTACTGAAAAACGAATGAATCTGGAAAATTTTGACAGCAATGCTGGAATCATATATGCCAGCCTACCCTGCCGGTATATATATACACAATATATACCCCCCCTGTGTGTAACACTATGAAATCTCCCCCGGCCCACGTGACCCGCGTGCGGCTAAGGAAGGTTCCGCGTGACGTGTCCGGCGGCCGGCGGAGGTTTGATGATGACAGACCTGCCTGGGTGAGCTTCTATTTTACTGGATATACGTACTGTGTTTGCAACGTGTTTCTCCCTCCCAAGTATGCATGCAATGTAGATTATTATTTTTTTTACATATAGAGAATTTAAGTATAGGTTGTCAGACCTAAACAAATAGAAAATAAAAATCCATCGACGTACGACGAACTCAATTTTCGTTAATTTCTCTCAGACAAAGTAATTTCCTGAAGACTGGCGTTTCCGTTTCTCTCAGTAAAGAAGATAAAGGTGAAGTGCGATTATGGGAGTTGTATCTCTTCTTTCAATACTAGCTGTCGGGAACTTTCGAGGCAGTTAATTGGAAATGTAGCAATAGTTGTCAAAGGTTACATGCCAAAAAAGGAAAAATGTTTAATTTCAGACACACTGAAACAGCGTGTTCGGGATTAATATGAAGGAAAACCTTGTCTTCCTGAATAACGACAAATGTAGCATTCCAGTTTAAACTCTGGTCTTCCTGAAGCGTCCTTAAAGCCATATATTAGAAATAAATCAACAATAGGCATTTCCCATAAAATCTTTATTGGAGGTGGTATCACAGGGTAACATCATGCAAAAGCTCAGTAACAAAAACTATCTGGAATGATATAAATGAGGGCAATGGGAGCAATGGCTGTAGAATCTAACAAAATAAAACTGAATTCCAATTCTTTAAAATGCCCAGAACGTCATACATATCTCCTGGATTAAAAATAAGACTTATGAGCTCAACAATATGCACACCATGTAGACAATTCTATGGACATTTTTTTTTATGAATTACTGATTTGAAGCCTTTTTATCACCTCTATCGTATCCTGCAAGTTTCAATCTCCAGCTTAGATTTATTGCTCTAGTAGCAGAGGTTGGACCTGCTGTACACCTTTTAGATGTATACTTTTGAAACCTTGGGTGGAGAATACTCACAAAACATGAGCACCAAATCAAAAGAAATCAAAGTGGGATATGCAGATTTTAGATAAACTATGCAAGAGGTCTGTCAAAGTTACATAAAGAAAGCTATTTACAGCACAGAAATCACACATTGGAGATAAGGCAGTTAAATACTGTTAATCGTGTGTCTCATGGGGACATTTAGCCTGTAAAAAGGTGCAAAGTCAATTTTGAGTTTCAGTCTGATTCTCATTACATAACAGATCTCCCACACTGTTCATTCACAAGAATGAGGGCCAATCTATTATTTGAACATACATTTTCTTCATAACCAGCCTGATTTGTTTGACTTGGTCAATGCAAACCAGGACGTTTAAAAAAAAAAACAAAAAAACAAAAAAAAACCTGGATTCCATTTTTCAGCTTTCATCATGTACAGATACTCTAAAATGCTTATCCAAAGATCGTTATTTAATTATGCATTTATTCTGATTGCAAACAGGTAAACATTTTACCAAATTTTACATTTGAAGAATGTCCTCTTAACTGTTTTATGCACCCGTTTTTTTTCACAAATTGATATACTGGACTGCATGTCAAATTGTAAATAGTATGTTGAATGTGTAGAAAACGTTTTTTTCCTTTATACAGAGTAATATAAAAGTAAGGCAAGATGCTTAAAACAGAGATTTGAAGGCTATGACGACCACTGTTTGGCCTCTTGCTCTGGAGCGGTTTTAAATTTGTCAGGAGATACAAAAAACGGTAGTGGTTCCCTTTCAGCCTCTGTCTCAGGCATCTTACTCTGGGGTGGTGTCAGCAATGGCCTGCGCCTGCTGGGGTGAGGGGGGATGGCGCCCTGCGACGTGTCGCTGCTCTTTGGCCTTCAGGCTGGCAAGCTGAGCTTCTTCCCTTTCAGAACTGCAGAAGAAGGCATGTGATCAGTCGGCAGCATCCCGGCCCACCCAGCCCCTCACTTCGCGTGAAAGGTCACAGCTTACTTTCTACACGCTTTTTTTATATTCCACCATTAAACTAAATTCAGAGACTTTGTCAATCATATTGCAAAAAGAAAAGTTGATATTTAAACCACCTAACTCATTTTTCACATTTTAAAGGGTTTATTTCTGATAAATGAAGTCCCTGACAGTTACACACACACACCTTCCTTTTACAGGAGCAGTCCGGCTCGGACACTTACCTTTCGTTACATAGAGATAGAAGAAGTCGCAATACAGGATGGTCTGGACCACACCGGCCACAATGGCTATCATGTCAAAGAAGCCCTCAAAGTAGAAGCGCCAGATCCAGTTGATGAGGTAGAGAGCGCGGTACAGGCCGAGGAAGAACAGGTAGTGCGTGGTAATGGTTTCTGCCTCTCCGGTTTTACTTATCATGAACAGCTGCGGCAGGATGGCGACCGACTCCAGGTAAATGGAGAAAGTCCACAGAATCTAGGAGCAAAAAGGGAAGAGAGTACACTAAGGATCCAAGCAGGGAACTCTCCATCCAGACAAGTCAAATTTGAAGATGGCATGAGATTCATTTCATGGAATGGATCATTCACATTTATCTGTCTAGCGGACTTATCCAAAGCGATACGCTATTGAGAAAGCAGGATCAGCCGGTCCCAGGAGTAAATTAGGGTGTACTCAAACTAGGTGATCTGTACCATGCCTGAGCACGAACACCATTGTGCTGTGCGAAAGCACTATTCTCCTATGTTTTCTTCGTGCTTGGGCCTGGAACATTAAGCTCAATGTGAGGTCAGACCAGTGGGGGAGGGGGGGACAACCATGCATGGGCACGGTACAAGGCATCTGGGCAAAGTGGGAGTGCACCCTTAGAGTCTTGCTCAAGAACCCAATGACGACCAGAGATTCAAAACGGCACCCTTCTGATCAAAGGCACAGAGCAGACGTCCATCGTCTTCATTCATAAAGCAATTGTTAAATAAATAGAAGCAATAATGTTTAACGTAATCGTCATCATTATACTTATAAACTTTATTTGTGTCACTTTACCTCAAGAGGAGAGAAGTCATGGTTGACCAAGAAAGAAAGACCCCCAACTGGGACCACCAGAAACTCCACTCTGAAGGTGTCATGGTTACCATCGTAGGTGGCCTTGAACTTGACGTAGATCAAGTAAACCGTGGCATATGCGCAACCAATGTAAATGACCTGAAATGCGGAATGAAAAGGCGACGATTAAATTAATCTCAATTTTCTGTGATCCAAGCCTGCATATTTTTCTGATGAGTTTTACTAATGATCTCAGCTTGTAGACTAAAATGGTGAATAACCCATGAGTATAGATTTACACTGATCAAACACCAACACAAAGAAAACACTCAGAGCACCTATACCTTATTTCAAAAATTAACTCCATGGGGATGAGAGATTATCATTGTGTTGGAGCCTATAATGCAGGCATTATACAACTGATGCCCATTACAAAACAAAATCTTAGATTACTGCAGAGATTCAAGTTGTTTTCAGAAGTTATTATATTTGCATTAATATTTTAAAAAGCTTCACTAAACAAACATCCAAAACAGTTTATAAAACAGTGAGTTTCTGGGGATCATTACCCAAACCACAGCCACATTCTCCTTGACTATGCAGTCCCTGGCAAACTGGGCATTAAAAACAGCAGCTGCTGGCGTGATACATGCTGAATAAAGTTAAACTGTATGAAATATAAAGCTCAGGTTCAAATACAACATACACACCTTCATGACAGTGTTGTAGAGCGAAATGAAAGATGTCAAGAGATCCAGATAACGGGTGGTGAAGACCAAGGCAAAAAGAATCTGGCTTTTCCCAGAAATACCTGTCGAGAGAGAGAAGAACCTGCGGTGTTAAAATAAGCCATGGTATTAAGAGTGGGGTGGAAAAAATTGCATTTAGCCGAATTTTAAACATCATTGTCAAAACAGACCAAAATAATCTGCTTATTACAAATACAAAAACAGTAGCTCTTTAAATGACAAAACATGAAGAGAACGACCAGCTGAATCACATGATACTTGTCTAACTTGAGTGCAAATTATTTTGCATTTCACCTTAAACTTTGCATTGAACAAAGCTTCTGAGCTATAAAAGTCTTACACCAGCCTGCACCTATTCATCAGACAACCAAGTTCTAGAATGAAACCCTGCTACACAGTTGCTACTTACAAGCCTTATTCCACAATACACCTCACTACCTCTTTAAGCACAACTTTATAAGATCAAATTTGCTCACAGAGGCAGAAACCAGTGAATCTGCCATCTGTATGCTAACATGGGTAGCAGGCTACATCTTTAACTGTAACAGCCCAGCCACATCTCTCTAATGCCTCTAGATGCCAAGAATAAAACCTCAAGCAGCCCATCCCTAGCCAAACTTTGCGAGCAAGCTCAAAGTAACCAACTGCATCCTGTGGCTTAGATAAGAGTAGGGCAGCTGAAAGGTAGCCAAAACAGGCCTATGACCAGGCCTTCAAATAAGAACACATTTGACAAGCGACCAGCCTAAGCCACAAAAACTACTAGTGACAGAACGCTGACATTTCTCATCATTAATAGCACAAAACAGCAATAAGCAGGATGGCTAAATACAGCACCGCAATAAATGTGTGCTCTGGTGAAAAATGAATGAATAATACCAACAAAATCAATGATTTCCCACTCATTCCACACGATCAAAAGTCGAGAGCCAATAAGTTTTAAACCTTTGCAGGCTACAGAAAAAGAAAGTTAAACTCTGGAACATTTTGAACGATTTGCATCACCTGTTGCCTACACTGATTTTGCACAAGTAAGGAGTCTTTCTGGACAAGCCAATAACCCAAAAAGACCAGTGGCCGTATTTTTACTGCTGTAGTTACAGGGCTAGACTGCATTTCACCATGGCACATCACAAAGTAGTCAGCCTAGCGCTCCAGACACACCATTGGCAGAATAATAAAAATGTGAAATACAGAAATGCTCAACATTTCAGAAGAATGATTTATTTTAAGTGATAATATTTTATTCAAAACGCTTAATTCCATTAATAGTGGTCCGCCTTTCTTGATCCAACATGCCACGTCAAAGGTCAGGCAGACTAAGACAGCCGTCAGCTGAAGAACTACTTTTTAAAACTTTACCAATAAAAATTATGCAGAAGCCAAAACCCAGCATTAATTATCCAGTCCTGCTGAATGAATTAGCAGACTTTACTTTTACAATGCACGCAGCTGCGAGCTCTGCAAACTGCTGCCCAGACGTTCATTCCTATCGCTCCTATCACCCAAGTTAATGTCCACATAGAGGCGAACTTTGGTTCGTCGGATTCTTCTTCCAACGGGTCGTTTTAACTATCAGTCAGCGTACCAATGAACTCTATGAGCTGACAGGTACTTATATACGTGTTTTAAAGCCTCACCACAATGCTAACGACACGTAAAAAACCTAAGAGGAATACGTGGAGACGTATAAATCCACATTAGTGCATAGTGAATTACCAGTAATTCCAACTACACAGATTATAACTACACCGACATGCATGATTCCGGTACAGGCCTAGCTGCAGCTGCCCACGCCAAGTTTAAGCAAGGCAGCCGCCGCTAACTAGCAACATTGCATAAGACATCACGTCAGGTGGCAAATTAACAAGTGAACCTACCGGCACAAGACCTGGTTTTCCATATTTTGAGCAGCAGAATGATAATGGCTGCTAAATGAGACAGATCCCCGGTGAGCCTAAAAATGTTCATACTTCTGCTGACCAGTGCAGAGGCCGGGTGCTCGTTTTTATCTTAATATTTTATTCAAAGAGCGTGGCCTCAAGGGCGTCTCCGTCGGCTTTCTCTGACGTCTCACTGCCCTGGAACTCACAAGTGTGAGCCGTGTCCACCAGCTACCTCCAAGTAATCGCCGCTTTCTCCCAGCCGAGCAGAAAAATGGCGAGTAGAGCGCGACGTGGCCCGGGTACGTGGCCAAAAATATTAGCGCACAAAGCAGGCTGGGAAAACGGCGGTGCGAGCGCGACCGGGCACGCCCCTTAAAGGCAGCGGCCCGCGGGCCTGGCCCTCAGTAATATATGGGTGGCGTTTTAGTACTTTGCCGAGATTTATTATAATGGTTGGCGTTTCAAATTAAGCGTCGTTTAGAAGCCCCCCGGGGCGTTATGTCCACTAAAGGCTTCAGTTAAGGAAATATGGGCATGGAGCAGCAAAACAGAATTGCAAAACATCTCAAACATCTTAAAATACGCGTTTGTTTAAATGGTAATTGGTCTGACTAGGACGTATTTTGATGCTGCAGTTTTCTTGAGACAACCATGCACGCCAGTGTCTGAAAGCTTAGATTACGGTACTTAACGGTCACGCTTTATCTGCGAATACTGGATAGATGGATGAAATAGAATATCAGATTTTGCACCTTAGTGTCCATCAGTCATACCAAATTGTAACCTGTTAATATGTACGTTGTGCTCGATATCGCTGTATAAAGTAAAAGAACCGATGTATTAACAGGGCTGCAAACACTAACACGTGCAGTTTTCTTATTCCCTGACAAAAATTGTTACTTTGACTCGCAGTAGTTCAGAGACCCCGAAGAGCACTGCTTGCTCCTTGGTCATCGCACAGTGCCGTATCCCTTTAAGTGCACGGTGACGCGGCAGTACAGCGCCGCGCTCAGCTTCCCACCGGATTCTCTTTGGATTTAGTTTGGACAATGGTGATACTGCATTTAATTTTAGAATATCTTATACCCAGTTCTGTAGGACACTACATACGATACCAACATATAGCACAGTTCAGCAAAGAATGTGGTGGCTTCAACAGAGTGAGATTCACAGTATCCATCCATAGAGTTACCGAAGAGCACCAAGCTACTTTTGTCCTTTCGTATAAAGTTAACAATCTATGCTAACTGTTCAATGAATAACATCGAATAAAACCTAACTTTCTACGATTGTTGTGCTTTTTTGGCGGCATAACATGGAACATACACATTTTTCTACTCTTTTACTATTACATACAGATTTGTCAGATTAGTACTCTCGCTTTCTTTTTTCCCACTTTAAATTTCCTAGATATACAGACCATTTCTTGGTATGAGCCAGAAACAATTATTTTGCTCAAGAAAATAATCCTATTCACTACGCCATCTTTTAGTCCGATGCTGCTTGAGATGTGCTGAATCTGTAGAGCAGGATGCTTGTACAAAAGCAAACATATATTTATTCATATTTTAGCTCTATAAAACAATCATAGTACATGTACGAACGGATTCCCCAGGTTTTCAACAGTGACAGCACACAACATACATACATTAATACTAAATATGAGAAAAAGAAAATAGGATACAAATATTTTATTATAAAATATTTTAAATTAGTGACTATACTTTTCTACCTAAACCTAAAGCAATATGTATAACTGGAAAGAGTTTCCCACTTTCACAAAATAATCCTGTTGTAATTAAACAGGTATTTGTACAAGCAATCATTCACAAAAATAAAAATGGATCAACATTATAGTAATGGAAGTTAAGCCTTTTTTAAAGTATGGGTATTTTGTATATTCATCGTCGATGGAATTAGACTGGAATTACAGAATTGACAAAACTGAAAAAAGCAAAATCCATCTCACTATTTTGTATATTCATCGTCGATGGAATTAGACTGGAATTACAGAATTGACAAAACTGAAAAAAGCAAAATCCATCTCACTATCAGCATGAAACTTGTTTTCCTGCTACTGGGCTGTATGTACATACTATAACGGTTATAATTACTGATATATTAATGAGAATGCATTTCAGTATTCAATCTTTTAGCATACTAACATAATACTTTCCACATCTGAATCTCACAGTAAAATGTCTCATGTAACTGGACACAAATATATGCCCTTTGATCGCCACTAATTTTGCCAATTTCCTGGCAAAGATGTACAGAGGGCCCAAATCCACCAGCCGCTGTTGAGATGGAGATGGATACCTGCCAACAGAACATAATGGATACAAAGAAGATCACCAAACGTGACAAGCTGTCTCTGATTTTTTTAGGTAGAATAAGAAAAAAACACATGTAGTGCAGATAAGACAGAAAACACAATATTATAATTAGTACAATTGTATCCAAGAAAAATATTGAATGTAAATACCACAGTATTAAACTCATCCCCTTATCAACCCCCTGCCAAAAAAACTACAAATAAAACACATCCTGGTAAGTGAAACTGCATGGAGGGTGGGACGGTGACTCGATATTGCCTCACACCTCCTGGGTGTTCAAATTCCACACCGACTTTGTGTGTGTGGAGTTTGCACATTTTTCCTGCATCACATGGGTTTCTTTGGTTAAAAAAAACACATCAACACACTGTTGTGTGTGAGTATCAGGTGAGTTTCTAGCTGTTGAAAAGATCAGGGGGCTAAGTCAAGTTTACCTGGGGATTGACTTTTTTTGCTTTTTAAGGAAGGTTGGCGTCGGGGCTAAAATACTAGTGGCTGATCAGACCTAACGACTCCCAAGGTGAGTATGTGTATGTATGTGCCCTATGATGGAGTAGCATCCTATTCAGGGTATAACCCTGCCTGCAAAAGACTGCAGCCCCCCTCCCCCCAACTCTATCCAGAATAATTGGTTGGAAGATGGATAGAAGTTAGAATAAAAAAAAGAATACCAGCGCTAACAGTGCCTGTCTGAAGACTGGAAAAGACAGTAGGGTGGACTTGGCTGGAAAGACCTTCTCTCAAGCCTTCCCTGGCTGCTTGCAGGCCTTGAAGCTGCTCGTCACTCAACTGAGCAGCCTGCGATGATGTCACTGCCAGAGCATTTCCCGGGCCCAGGCTCTGTAGTTGCTCCTTAGAGAGTTGCTGTTGAAGGGATTTGACATATGGACTGTAATAACCAGTTCACTCAAACGTCAAACTTCTCAAACATGACGATGATACTTTAATATCTACAACTACAGTAGTTACCTGGATTAGTAATTATTTGTTAGATAGAACTAATATATATATTATTAGTGTATGAAGTTTGGTGACCATCAGTCAGATGTTTTAACCCTCCTCAAGGGGGTGCCGCAGGGCTCAGTATTGGGTCCTCTTCTTTTCACAATTCGCATAAATAATATGGAAGATAATTTGACGGATGCAGGTGGCCATTGCTATGCTGATGACACTGTCATTTATTGATATGAATCTACACTGAGCAAGACTGGGGAAATATTGCAAAAAGAATTTTAGCTAAAGATGTATCAATTGAAATTGGTCTTAAACGCTTCTAAAATGAAATTGATGTACTTTACTAAGGCAAAGGTTAGTACGCTAACTCCAACTTTCATCGTGACCTTAAACGGTTTTTATATTGAATTTATTCATTATTTTAAATATCTAGGTATTTTGATGGACGATAATTTAAATTATAAAGAACATATGACCGAGACAAAAAAATAAGGCTTAGGGCTTGTTTTTCTTTCGTGGCCAGAAAAAAGCTGGGTGCTGCCACATTTTTGCAGATCTGGGACTATGGGGACATTCTGTATAGGAGTGCCCCTGTGTCTTCACTATGTATGATAAATTCTAATTATCATGCTACTTTAAGGTTTATTACATAGTGCAAATATGATATTCATCATTGTTCTTCTTATGACAAGGTGGGCTGGATCTCTCTAGAAGTGCCCAGGCAACTTCATTGATTTTTTTTTGTATATAAAGGCATTATTGGCTCCTTACCTTCTTATTTGACTGTCTACCTGGACATTTCCAATGTGGGTACCTATTCCTCACTCTCTAGTGATTGTTTGCATCTATCCATCCCTTTTCCAACCCACTTATCCTTCTGGAGCCTATCCTGGAAGCTACGGGCACAAGGGGGGGGAGGGGGGGAAGCCTATTGCAGGGCACACTCACACACCATTCACACCTATGGGCAATTTAGTAGTTCCAATTAGCCTCAACATGTTTTTTGGGGGAAACTGGAGTACCCAGAGGAAACCCCATGATGACAACATGCAAACTCCACACACATTTAACCCAGACAGAGACTCAAACCCAGTTCCCAGAGGTGTGAGGTAACAGTGCTAACCACTGCACCACCATGCTGCCCCCTTGTTTGCATCTACTAGTTCCCAAAGTTTGCACCACGTTTAGTGAGGCCAGTTTTATGTTTACTACTCCGGTTACATGGAATATGCTCCAAAAGACTCTAAGACTTCGAGCACCTGTCACCTTGGATGTGTTTAAATCTGTTGTTAAGGGTTTTAAAACTTGAATTAGGTTCATATAATTGTTTTTAAATGCACTGTTTTAATTGTTTTAATATTTAATTTTGTTTTATATGTTTTTGCTGTCTCTGTTTATGACTTTGTTTTCTACTATCATGCCACCATTTTGGCCAGGGTTCTTTTGCGAAATATCTTGATCTCAAACCGTCACCGTGGTTAAATAAAGGTAAATAAATAAATAGAACTGTATTTATATTACATGGATGTTAAAAGTCAGCTCCTTGTTGTTCATTGTATTTCATTTTAATACATATACTGTACAATTATCAAATAATCTCTTGATTCCTTCTTCCAATTTAGGATGGAGGACAGAAGCACAGGACATCACGGCTGATAAAAACCGAAGGATTTTATTATGACGGCTCCTCAAAGCCACTGTCCTGACTTTGAGACAGCTAGTTTGCATTGTTAAAGGTGAACAGGTCAAGTGATCAGTGCTAAGCTGGCTACACGCCAAGCCAATGGCAAAAAAACTAGCGCCAACCAAGACCGATGAATGATCAGCTCTTGTCAGCTCCCATTAATTGAGAAAATTTGTGCGGCAACTCACCAGCATGGCTAGAGGTGACGGCTGACATATAGAAAATCAGAGAGCTCACTTTTACCAGCTAGCTTCACCATGGTTCAACAAGCACAATCGGCCAAAACAGCGTCAAGAAGGACCAGCTGTGTCCAACTGTGCTGCACCGACTCTCATCAATTCTCACCAATGGCCGAAAATAGCTTGGTGTGTTGCAGGTTTCATCAGAACACATCAGCCAAACTGAGCTGCAGTACCAGTCAAAAGTTTGGACACGTCAGGTCGCCTACAAGGGAAAGTGATAGTGTTGCATCACATGACCTGACCGCTTGACCTAAACACAGTAGAAATGGTTTTGGAGGAGTTTGGCCAGAGAGTGAAGGAAAAATGGCCAATGAGTGCTCAGTACATGTGAGACCTTCTTCAGGACAGCCGGAAAAGCATCCCACCTCATGAAACTGGTATAGAGGAGACAGTAGGGTTAGCCTGTTCCTGGAGAAATTGGGGTTAAGGGCCATGCTCAAGGGCCAAATGGTAGGATGACTCTGAAGACCCAGGAATTTGAACTGGCAACCTACTGATTCCAAACCCACAGAGCTGCCCCCCATACAACAAATTATTACTTTTTTAAAATACTTTTTTGGTCAGTGCATATTTTTGTGTATTTTATTTTATAGTTCTGATGTCTTTATAATTATTCTAAAATATAGAGAATAGTTCAAATAAACCTTTCTACGGGTAGGTGTGTTCAAATTTTTGGCTGGTACTGTATATGCCAATGTTCCACTTCCCGTCGACTCATCTACTCATCCAGTCGCCGACTGACTGCACTCACCGAAAACCCCTCAGGCGGAATAGCGGCGACGGCCTGGGGTTGCAAGTAGGGCATTAGATCTAAGCTTAGTTCCTTCATCTCTTCAGTACTCATGCCAGCTGTATAGAAAACACTGTCATGTAATGCCAGTGCCAATGTTCACTGCAGTAACTAGCTGTAATGAAAAGAATCAGCATTCAAAAGTACACACTGTATTATAAACATACAGAATTTTGAAGGACAAAGGAAAATTACAAATTTATTTACAGTATACCCAGTCTGTCTTGGAGGTTAAGCAGTGTATGTCTACACTTGAATCCAGAAAATCTTCGAAAGTATTTCACAGAGGCGCTCCTGGTGATAGACTAGTTATAAACCACTGAATGCACTTTAGACCTTCATTGTTCTGTGCTGCTCATACTCTGGCTCAGTGTGGTATCTAGAAGCATTTCTCACCTGCTACCACGCCCACCTCTTGCAGCACAGACCTATTCCATGTCCTGACTGGCCCAAACACTTTTTCGGCTGTGCTCTTCAGCTGCCGTAGCACTGGCAGGGGGCAGAGAAGGGAGCCAATCCGTGCAGCTGTGTTGCTGTGTGCACAGGATTGTTGGAAAGATGTCAACCAGCAAAAAATTGCAGATAATACGGGCTTTCAGTCTTTATCCACCCACCCCCCTGTTCAAAAAACAAAAGACTATGCAGCTGTTAGAATGTCACAGTTGTCAAATATAAAGGCTGTTGTGCTGCATTCTGTACTCCACTGTTAAGTATTTTCTCCTCTACTAGCCTAATGTCTCTTTATGTTCCCTTCATTAGTCATATTAGGTTCTTGCTTCATTAGAAGTTGTGAAATTATTTGTTATTTGCACAAGTACATTGGAATGCTTCTCTTCACATAACCAGTCCTGCTCTCCTTCTGACATGCAGACACAGTTCAGAGCAAAGCGTGGGGTCTAATTGCAAGGTCAGGCTGGACATCCAGCATATCTGGAGCATTTTGGTGGGGGGGGGGGTCAGGGGTCTTGCTGATGGATCCAGAAGAGATGAGACTATTTTGACAAGGCTTGAAGTGCATACTTTCTGATCTCAACACAGAAGCTAAACCCACTGAGCCACACACCATACCTAAGTCATTCTGTAGCTCCTGCTCCAGTACTGCTTACACTTGTACCTGGGCCATCATTGGAAGCTCAGCCAAACTGCACTTATGCCTGGCTGACTCCCTCACAGTATGTGTGTTTGCTGTGTGGTATTTGCCTGACTTGAACACCATTTTGGACAAAAGTGTAAATATGTGAAATATGTCAATATAAACTACCCTACCGCCTTGTTACCTGTAGGCTTCAGGGTTGATCAGGTGGGCCTGAGTGGGCTGCACTCCACATAGAAATAGGCTGAGCCCAGTTAAGTCCGAGCCACGCAGCTCCCCTAGAGTGAGATTAGAACACTCCAGAAAGCGATAGAGCAGGCTGCTCATCTTTGGGGTGAGAAACAGGATCAGAAGCAGGATGAGAGTCAGGATCAGCGTATGTCAGGCTCCAGGCACACAATAGGCTAATCAATGCTATGTTTTGTATTTATTTTGAGCACATTCACGTGCAATGGTGCTCAGGACAGTTTAAAGAATGAAAGATTTGTTACCTGATGGACGTGCTGTCAGTGAGTATGAATGACATTACCTGTTTCACTGTCCATTTGCTTTGCTGACTAAGGGCAGTCAAAGTATCAATGGAACTGAGATCCATCTGCTTAATGTCCTCTTCAGTTAAGGACACAGCAATGGAACCCAGAGAAACCACATGGTAGTTTTTCCAGGTGGACACAGGACCCCAGGTCTGACAGAGAGTAAGATTAACTTGTGCTTGAGTTTCATAGTGCTAGTGGTCTGGTTTTCCTTGTTTCAGTAGAATCATGAAATTAGGCCCGAACACAAACCTGTTCAGCAAGGGACTTGAGGGCCCTAATTTGAAGCAGATCGAAACCCTTGACTGACCCCAGCAATTCCACAGTCTCTGTGAAGGTCTCAGGGCTGATGCATCGCAGCTCCATGGCAGACCAGTAGACGTTAGCCTCTGACAGCTTACGGATATCGTCTGCCGAGGGCGCGCTGACGAACATGCAGTCTGGGTGATGGAAAAGCAGTAAATGGCTTCAGGATAAGATCTGTAAATGCAGACAACTGGAAACACAGTTTCACTGTAGACAAGTCATAAAATGAAACAGGGTAATGACCCTATAACGAAACCAAATATACCTGTGTGTTTAGGAATACTCTTTATTTAGACAATTAGTGTTTTATTTTGATTGCTTGTCTAAAAATGAGCCTTTGTAAATACGAACTTTAATTTCACCATTTGAATATACTGAGTGTTATTGATTATACATAACATCATTCTTTTTATTGATGTTTGTGGAATGTTAGTGTTCTTGTTTTACAGACAAATCATGCATAAACAAGTTATTAAATAACATGTAATTTGTATACCTTGACAGAATTTTTAAGAAACCTGTTTGAGAATGGAGACCTTTTATTTAATCATCAGACATTTTTGTCTAAAGCAGCAGCATATACATGTTTTTTGATGAAGTGGAGTTAGACTGTCCCTGGACCAATTTGGGGTTAAGGGGCTTCCTCAGTGACCCAACAATGAAGTCATTTTTCCATCCTTGGGATTTCGGCAACCCTCTGATAAATTGGCATGGCATATTAACCTGCTGAGCCACACCCCGCCCCCCCCGCCCCCTGACAGATAGACAGCTAGATAGAGAGATGATTTGGAGTGTCTTTTCACGCTGTGAATTTCATTAGGCAATAGCTCACCAGACTCAGAGCTTGGTGTATCTCTGGGTCCAACCACCAACTCAAAAACAGCAAGAAGAAAGTCTTCTGGCAGATGTGTTTTCTCAGACTGCACTGCCAAATGTAGAACTTCCTCTGGATACTTACAAGGAGTACAAAGCAACCAACTGTGATTGAACCTCAGAATTAGGCCGAAGACTGCATCTTGTGTTTCATCACCGTGAACAATAAGCATGTTATAATTTTAAATCAAAGTAAAACTCACCAGATAATAAGTGATAAATTACAGATATGCATGCATACTAAAATGAAGTAAACAACTGCATTACCATTACAAAACACCAAACATTCTGACATAACTAAATCACAAACAGATATACTGTATGACTCATCCATTATAAGTATCGTAATGAAGTGAGGAAATGATGTGGAAGCAAACCTTTTTCCCCAAGATCAGGATATCTTCCCTGGACATCAGGGTGACTAGCGGCCCCAGGTCCTGGAGAAGTTCAGTGCTCCACTCTACTGGGTGACTTTGCCACCCCACCAATGAAAAAGAGAGATGATTAATGGACATGGATGCATGAGATATGTACAAACTTAACAAGAATACTCCAAGCTTTCATGCCTCAACATTCTCATGAAATATACTATGAATAAATAGTAGGAAGTCCATCTGCTTATCAATCCAGGGCGAGGCAGGAGAGGGCTGGCTGAAGGCTCCCCCAGGCAGATAAGGGCCCAAGATGTGTGTATTGCAGTTGGGATAACTGTGCAGTGCATGCACTGGGGCTGCCAGTTGGGCTCCTACCCATACAACTGCACCAGCTTTCCTCTGATTGCAGCCCTCTGGTCGGCAGTGAGGTGGGCACACCTCCGGAGGTACTGGAGAGCAGCGGGCAGGGCAGCCAGGGAGAGGTGGGCACGGAGGGCGGTGGGGGGTAAGTGGCACAGCAGCGTGCCAAGCACGTCCACGGCGTACTCATCACGGATGCCCTCATTCTGCAACAGTGCACTTACATCAGACCCATGCGTTTTGGAGCAGCACAACTGCAGGATCTGCGCCAGGAGAGATGTGGAGCAGATCCACGAGAAACACTGGCCTGGACTTCCCCCCCACCCACGGGATGTCCAAACCAGTTTCATTTTACACATAATCTTTACTATTGCATCTTAAAATAAAAATATTGCTATGTGACATACACCTATCTTGACTATGTAAATCTCGCTAATAATTGTTTGTAGATGGATAGATGGATCATATGAAATGTTCCAGGGAACTCCGATAAATGGCTGAACAAAGCTTCATTCTCAACTGTATATATGTTCGTATGTCTCAAAGGAGAGCAAGATGGGACATGTGAAAAGAAATATTCCTGTGTACTTCTACTTGTGCAAATTGGAAATAATGTCATTTCATTTTTTTAAAACTACATCAAGGCAAAATAACTCACCAGACAGTGCAGCACCTTCTTGATGACGGCCTCTCTCTTTACAGCACATGGAGACACTAAGCTGAGATCCAGCCGCCCCAGAGCACCCTGGAAGTCTTTGCAGTAGGATTCTGGCATCCCACTTAAATAGTGCAGCCTGCAGTAGGGACACCAGCACCATCGTACACAGGAGTGTGGTTTCTGTCCACTTTACATGCAGCTTGTTTCACTGGCACCATTTTTCAGTTCCCAGCATTTAAGATGAGTGTGACATCACAATTAACAGGGCGAAAAGCTACTGTCACTTGTTTTTAGACCTTGATGATGATGATTATCAAATTTATTATTATTGCTTAAGTTGTGTCATCCTAATGTCATGCAGTTGGAGATGAATTCATCACCTCATATGTGTGCTGATAAGACAGAACACACATCTGATAAATAGCACACTGTACTTGCACTTATTTCCATTGCTATATAATGTAGGAATCCTAAGTGTCTCATTAAAAGGCTTTGGCCGATTCATTAAAAATCAGGTTAAAATCAGAGGCGGTAACATGACTGTGGTTGAATCATGGACACCAGTTGTCCCTTCAGTCATATACATTGAATTTGTGTGTTACTGGCTCCTTGGTCTATGTCTCTAAACCAGTGTTTCCTAAGTTGGTCTTCAGGGACCCACAGACGGTCTGTGTTTTTGTGGACTGTTTGACAGGGAGCTCGGAGGGAGCAAAAACATGGACTGACTGTGGTTCTCCGAGGAGCGGATTGGGAAACACTGCTCTAAACAACCGTGATGTGTCTTTTTAATGCATAGTCTACCGCAGAAAGCTTCAGCAGAGCAAAATGGTAAACAGACCACTCACGGTAGCACTGACAGGAGAATTGGTGGGATGAGTGAGACGGGTGAATCTGGAACTTCCAAATATCTCCAGGCCAGGCAGGTCATCTGACACAGAAGATAGGTTATTGGTAATCTCCAGACTTCCTCCCGGCTACACCCCACCCGTCCAAAGCGGAGCTGCTGTGTGGTTACTTTTGATTGTGGTTTTATGAGGTTATTTTACACACATATCACTACTTCCTTCAAAAATACCTGGAAAGGAGAAAGGAGATGGAAGTTCTTTTCAAAGTCATGGAAGTTTTGCACGAGGAAAGCGTCACTCATCCTTTGTATGTCATGACAGGTGATGCCTTTCATCAGCTGCCCCATGCTGGGAAAAGAGAGTGAGACAGATGCAGGAGGGTGATGGGATAGACTCTTCTCTCAGCTATCAACACTGACTGAGAAGCTGGATAAAGAGGGAGCAGATACAGCAGATATAGCGGACACAGCAGATACAGTGGGCACAGCAGATATAGTGGATACAGTGGATCCAGCAGATACAGTGGATATTTTAGATACAGCAGATACAGCGGACACAGCAGATACAGTGGATACAGTGGATCCAGCAGATACAGTGGATATTTTAGATACAGCAGATACAGCGGACACAGCAGATATAAGGGACACAGCAGATATTTTGGATACAGCGTCTGCCTCTTACCTTATCAAGGTAGCAGTGGGAGTCGTCCTTGAGAGAAAGTTGTATAAGAAGGAAGCCTGAACCCGAAAGACAGAAAGCACAGCTATGTATGCAGCATAGGCTGAATTTGGAACTTCTCTTCAATACTCTGGCTCAAATGAAGCTGCCCGATGCCTTCAGTCCCAGTCTTTAGCCTAGCATACATTCCTGTACTTGGCTACATGTGAGCATCTCTTCCTCCAACGAAAGGCTCCCAAAACTGGGCACCTGAAGCAGGCTGAATCTAGAGCCTGTCTGTCTTAGTTTGGTTCAAGTGACACGGCCCAGTACCATCACTTCTTCGGTCCCATCTTACCTGGCTGCATGTGAGCTGCTTGTCCCCCACAGAAATGCCCCAAAGACTGGGCGCACGAAGCAGGGTGGCGAGGGGCACCTGAGTGAACAACTCACACGGAAGCTTCCTCGCCACCATCTCAACATCCTCTGATCTCAGCATCTGCTACCACCCAACATGGTTAATAAAAGCCACATACACACACCACTTCTACAATCCCCCCCCGAAAGAAGTCGTTCTGCATAAGGGACGCTCCATTTTCCCATTATTTTATGCATTAGGAATTATTAGCAGGGTGTATGGTAGTAAATGATATCCTAGTTTTTTATGGATGCCATGTTGGTACCTGACTGATAATTATGTGCTGCTGTGTGGGACTGAGTTGTGTCATGTGGAGAAGGAGTGTGGCTTCCATCGCTTGTGCCAGCTCTTCTGTGCTGACGCTGTAGAAGAGGTTGGCATCCACCCCAGAAATGAGAGAGCCGAGCTCACTGATATTTCTGAAGGTTAATACCTGCAGTGCGAAACAGACACAAAGGAATTAACAAACAAATAAAGCTCGGCCACAAAATTTCACTTCCGGAGAAAAACATCACTGTGTTCACTGAAGACAGAAGCATTATGGATATTCTGGGCCATGCAGCTCGTTTGAGCCTGGTATTTAGCACTCTGTGGACACTGGGACATGGTCCCACATCCTGCCTAAATCCATATCTATGTACAAACGTTCCAGGACGCTAAAAGGTAACATACGTATTACATACAAAGGCAGCGTTAACATGTTAGTTAATATGTTTACACAGACAATCACCCACAAAATTACTAGTTCATTTCTCCCAAAGAGAAGGAGCTTGAAGAATCTTACATCCCACTTTTAGTAGGTAACTGAAGGATAGACGATGGAGAGGTGGATGGCCATTTCAGCCATAAACCTACTGAGGTAAATGGGAATAGCAAACACAGGCAAATGTGCCTTAATAACGGAGCTGTAGAAGTGGTTCACCTTGCTGGACCCCATGTACTTGTTAACGAGTATGGTGGTCTGGCTGCGTGTCCAGCCTGACACTTGCTGCAGGACTGCCATGGAGCTGCGGACCGCCGAGGCCGACAGGGACTCCAGCTGGCCGGGTGTCAGGCCCACGGCTGCGTCCGACACTGAGCCCAGCAGCTCGTTCAGGGTCTGGTTCCGGATCACGATGGAAAGGAGCTGAGACTTAAGCTGAAGAAGTGGAGGCAAAGTCATGAGGCGCAGTGAGGGGGAGAGTTTGACAGTAAAACAAGACTTAATGCTTAATGGTTCTTATCCAGGGGAATGGAGATTGTGACTGAGACCTAAACATTATACTGATACTCAAATATTGTATCTTTGGCAAAAGAAATCATGGATAGGTTTATCTCCACCAAAAACTGCCAAGCACTCATCCAAGCAGTGTGAACTATCGGCCAAACCCAGGTTCCTGGAGGCCTTCACCTTCTGGACCTCGGTCAGGCTCCCTCGTAGCTGGTTGCACTTCATCAGCTGGTGCAGCAATATGCGAGCGTCATTGGCATCCAGCAGAAGGAGGTTGTCATAGAAACACACCAGCAGTCCCAGCCTGCATGGGAACATAAGACCATACAAGGTCACACTGGTGACATCAAGAGCAAAGCACATCTGCTATTGTACCAGTGTATGCTGAGGAGATGAAGGGGAGGAACCTCTTCTTGTCAAGATGGACACACGAACATACAGCCTAAATATATGAAATGATGGGGGAAAAAATCATAAAGTGCACCAATTTTTATTACTTACATTATCTAAAGCAGACATCCAGAATACTGAATCAGTGTTTTACATGCCCCTAGATACAAGGTAACTTATTGTCAAATGAATTTTGATAATTCAGTTTTGATAATTCAGTGTTTTGACCTTTCGCCATTCAGTGTTCATCTTTTCCTCCGTATATCTTGTTTTTTTGGAGAATATGACATACCTATCATAAAGGTAAAAAAAAAAAACAACTCTCATTTTTCAAAATAAACAATGTTTTGCTTTTTGATGAACTTGAGTGAAAGAGCAACAGCTGTGGATTACTGCCTGCCTGTAGCTGAAATAGGAAGCGGAGGGTGTGACTCCTGGAATCTGACCTGTATGCAATGGAGACATTGGCCATGTCAAACCCGGAGCCGTTAATCCTGTGGAGGAAGGCTTTGCCGGCGTCAGGTCTGATGTCATACACGCAGTCCAGCTGCTTGGTGGCATTGTCATAGTGAATGAAGATCCGCATCTGAGAGACGTAGTGGACGACTGCAGGTCAGATGGCTTCCTATCTCATACAGCGTGCTGGTGTTTAAGTCTCTGCATATTTGTGCATCCATTTCCAAGTCACCTCACCTCACTTAGGCTGATCCTTAGAATATGATGCACAGGAAGGTGAACCATATATCTCCCCAGAAACCACAGGTTTTCTGCTGTCATCCAGGTGGTGGGATTGGCTGAGGTAGAGCAGATTAAAAGTGGCTGAATGAAACATGCATTCAAATTCATGCTGAAGAACAAAACTAGGGATGTTTCAGTGGTGCTATATGTTTTGATTGTGTTAATTGCTTTATATATCACTGATTTCTTCTACAAAATCTCAGATGGTTCATGGTATACTATGGTATTTTTTTTACCTGCAATTCCATGTAATTCCTTTCTTACTATAACATTATTGATACATCTTTTAGTGGTTTTTAAAAACGGATATTTTCCACCATTAGGTACAAATGTATGTTGTGATTGCATGAACAGCCACTGTATGACGATATGAAGTACGTAATAATCTACTAAACTAAGCAAGCATATTAGAGAAAAATGGAAAGAACATTACAGATAGATTTTGAGGTCATCTGGAATCCCAGTGCTATCCACTTGTAAATGGCTCTTTGAGTGGTGACTGAGAATATGTCGTACAGGTCCTTAAACACTGCAGTCCTGCACGGAGTTTAAGGAGAGGACAATACTGCAACTCCCACAATGCACTGTGCTTCATTATTACACTAGGCATATTCAGCAACATTTTATAATTTGTAATGCCTGAATTAAAAGCAGAAAGAACGTAAAGAGATTCAGTGACACCATTGCTACTTATGTAATGTGAGTGATCTTACTAAAAAGATCATCAGTAACATTCTTATATTTTGCATTTAATTAGCACTTGTGCTGGTTACTCACAGGTTTCGGAAGATGTCGTCTGACAGGTTTGTGGGGATGTCGGTGACGAAGTCCTCCTGGACAAACTCCCCGTTGGAGAGGCTGAGCAAAGCTCCCATAAAGTCCACGCAGTGCCCCTCCCTCAGCAAGGACAAGCACTTCTCCCTGGCCACAGCAAATAGGGAGCGATTCCCCCCCGGACTGCGCTCCAGAGACGCCCTCATCACTTCAAAGTCCACCTCCATCAGCACAGTCTGCGAAAACGGTGCAGCATACAAGTATAATGGAAGTTCATCAGAAAAATTAAAAACAGCCTAAAAACAGCATGAAGCATTGGGGTTAATCTACTTTTCAACCCGGTCATTGGCGACCCCGAGACAGACCATGTTTTTGCTCTCTCCCAGCTCCCTGCATTCCTCCCACTGCAGAACAGCCAAAGCAGGGCTGTAAACTGCACCAAACTCAAAGACCATGACTAAGATAAGCAGCTGGGGGTCCAGGATTAGAGGTATCAGCCAATCAGGAGCTGGGAGGGAGCAAAAACGTGGGCCGGTTCTGGGGGTCCATAAGGACTGGATTGAGAAACACTGGTTTATACATCATTAAGTATGGTGCCAGCACTATTGACTGTCAGGCACACAGTTGACTTGTCCCGATGTTTACGTCAAGTTCTGGCGCTCACGTTCACAATGCGGTGAGAGAGATGGCAGGGTGAGGCACACCTGCTCCGTCCTCCCACTGAAGAACAGCCGGAGCAGGGTTGTGAACTGCACAATGCTCAAAGAGGCCATGTCTGTGATAAGAAGCTGGGGGTCTTGGATCAGAGAGCGTTGGTAATCAGTCAGTATGTCCTGGAAAGTAACACAGCATGCAAGTTCTATGTTATACCCGCGAGGTTCTTCCTGGAGATACATAGGACTAACATTACTTAAAGACATGCGGGGAACCTGTGGATGAAATGTGTCATTTAAGAACAGAAAACAGACAAGACAGTCTGGCATATTGACTAAGGAGGGGACCCTCTTACTTTAACGCGGTCTATGCCGAGGGAGGCGTTTCTGCGGAGTAGGTACACCAGTGCATCTGTGGGGTTCCATGGCTGCTGGGTGCTAGAAAGGGGGGGGGCACAACTCAGGAACCAGGGCAAACAGTACAGTGCAGGGAGACAAGCAGCAACTCACAGTGCAAATGAAAAGCAACCCTGACATTACATGTCAGTTAAGGGGCCGGCACTTTACTACATTAAATACCAGGCGGAAATCTGCTTTACCTCGCAAAGAGAAATGCGTCAACCAGAGCTGCAAAAAACCCCAGAAACAATCCTTTAGGATACAGGGTATTCAAATGATAAAGATGAATGTCAATATCTCTATAAAAACATTTAAAATTTGAAGAGACTCAGTATTTATAAAGCCTGAAGTTCACTATAAGCAATATTAAGAAAAATGACTGAAAAAAAGTACCATGAAGGTATCTGCTGGTCAAGAATTCATCCTAAAAGAGAGACATTGTAGAATCCTAACTGTAATAAATATGTCAACACACCTTCTCTGTATGAAAAAATGCTTAAAGTAGACTACAAGAAAAATGTACATACCAGGGCTTTTTTCACCAAATGGGGCAATTCTTTACAAATAAAGAATTAGATATATCATATATGCTTGAATAATAAACACAACATTTGGATTTGGATTGTACTTAATGCATTAACAAAAATGAAAATTTCATAATACAATGACATTATTCTGTCTATCAGTTTCACAATTTCATCTGAAGGGTTCCTTTTCCTTACCCGGCAGTGAGTACGTTCCTTGCGAGTCTGACACGAGCCCAAGATTTGGAAGAAGCAGCAACAACAAGACCAGCAAACTTTCTGCCATCCCAAACCATTCGATCCAACAAACGCCTATAACAAAGCAAAGCAAACAGCCCTTAGAAATCACACATCTACAGCACTTAGGAAAAAGTAAGAGATGTAAGTAGATTGACAAGCATAGTAAGCAACCAGCACGAAATAGAGGATATTGTACATTTAATAATATTATTTAAACTTTCACACAGAAGATACTATGTGATTTTAAAAGTGTACAATTAAACTAAATGATTATGCATGTTTATAACTACTCACCAGGAGAGAGTTCTTCTTGGTGTCAAAGCTTTCATTGACAGTCCAGTACTGAGCATCACATTTCTGTCCAGGTTCCAGATTTCTCTATTTGGAAGAGACCCCGCATTTTAACCCCATATAGTCTTATCACCCACTAAACAATAATCAAATCAAAGCTGCACGTCTCTGTTGAAGCAAAACAGTGAAACTGACATGAATGGAATTTGCAGAAATAGGTCTTTTCCATTTCTCATCCTCTTTTTGTCTTTCTCAAGTACAGCCTCTGATTCTTCCCCATCTAGACGTTTCTACGGCTCTGAAGGAGAGTCATTTCTATTCAGACAAGACCTTTGCTGCACAGAGCGTTCACTCTCCTTCGTGAAATCCGATCACTTCCATTATACCCTGGGGAACCAGAAGGTGTCATTTTCACTCAAAAAACGGTGGACATGGTGGGAAAATAGTGTGTGAAAATAAACCTACTTAAGTTACCAGTGTTTGTCAGTCACACTCGAGTGTCAGTTCTTACGTCTACAGTTTGTTGTTTAAAATGTCTTTGGCTACCCAACCTCCAAGTCCCCTCAAAATCAAAGCTGCAAAGACTCTGGCTTCAGTGAGTTTAATGACGTAGGAAAGTAGGAAGTCTTGCACCAATTCACCACACATAATCACTTTTCTTCACTTCAGACACTAAACTCGGTTAGTTGATGAAGGTATGTTTTTATACAATAAAACTTATATAACATTACACTAGTGGCCAAAATTGTGGCAACACTATTAAAGTTACTAATTTTGTACTGTCCTGTATTGAAACTGCAGAATCAAACACAAAACTGATTAATGTACATTTTAAAAGAAATGTAAAGATTTAGCATGTCGTGTCATGTTCTTTTTTTTCCCCAAAAAAATCCCAAAAATATTGTAGTGGTTAGCATTTAGTTCACCACATTGTCTCTCCAGTTATTAGATAGAGTTGATTCCCATTGAGTAATACAATTTTTTCCCATATAGCCTCATATGTAGATCCATCCATATGTAGATTACTCTCCTGTTTCCATTTTTCTTTAATATACTGCAAGGACTCCATTTTACAGACCAAAAAGGCATTATAGAATTTTGACACAATTTTAGCACAGTGAAAATCACAAGCTGAGTAGAAGGGCCCTAAAATACCATTTGTATAAGCTTCTATTGTATCTGTCCCCTTTATTTCTTGATAAAAAATAATGCCGCACTTGTAAATATCTATAAAAGTCTCTTTGTTGTAATTCATATCTTTCTTTTAATGACTGGAAATCTCTTAGTTTGCCATTGATCATAATTACCCAGTATGCAGAAATCCCCTTTTCAGCCCATAACTTAAATCTATTGTCTAAAGTATTGGAAATAAACTTCGTGTCAAAGGAGCACCATTTCAAAGTCTTTACAGGACTATTTAAATTACTTTTATTAACAACCCCATCCCATACCTTTAGAGATAAGCCAATCCATGAGTTATCCCTATGTAAGAGTCGACGTAATTTCTTGTCAGCTATCATTGCTTGAACTGGAACATCCCGTCAATGAGGATTCGATCTCTTTCCAGCTTGCTGAGTAATTTCCATTGCACCCACATACAAATGCTCTCAACTGGGCCACAGCATAGTAATCTCTCAGACAGGGGAGAGCCATTCCTCCCTTGTTTTTCCCCAGTTGAAGTGTTTTATACCGTATCCTTGTTTTTTTACCTTGCCATAAATATCTAGAGATAATTTTGTCCCATTCAGAAAATTGCTTTTCAGGAATTTCTATTGGTAGTGTCTGGAAAGGATAAAGGAGGCTAGGTAATATATAAATTTTTACTGATGCTATTCTTGATTCCGGATCTAAGAAAGGAACTGAATTCCATCTGGTAATATCGGTTTTAATTTTGGTCTGATGCCACATTCTATGAGTAGCGCACAAGTAGATCCATCCAACTTCCAACCATTTATCAAGAAGAGGGTTGTGGGGACATCATTAATATACAAACAATCAGTAGAGGACCTACTGGAGAAACTACTTCCAAAATCTCAATTTGAGATCCAGGAAGATCGGTGAAGTTTTTGAGATTGACTTTTCCCCCCGTCTGTATACTGAGAATCTGTACATTGCAATATGTCTTGTTTTGCCAATAAACTCACAAAACATTTAACACAAAGGAAACTACCCAAAAATGTTGCAATTACAGTATTTATTGCATCCAGTTGTAAATCACAGTATAAATACAAATTAGTCTTAGTATCATGGGATTATTCCAATGAGAGTTAAAAAATAAAAAATAATCAGACAATATGGTGGAATACATGTGCAATACAGAATACAAGTACCAGCATTTGCCAAAGACATAAATAAACATAAATAAAACAGAATTGATTAATTCCTTAAGAAATTCCCAGAAAAATGTTGCTATTACTGAGGCTTTTAAACCCACTTTTCAGTTGATTAAACAAGGCAGCCTGCATTATGGGATGTTCACATACTCCTCCCACTTCTACTGGCAACAAGGCCACGTCACAGCGATGCCTTTTAGATCACATATATAAAAATCAGCCAACACTGAATGAAGCGGTTCATAACAATGTGGTGCTTCTGGAAAACCTTCAATTAAGCTGCTCCCATCTATAGATTAATTAGAACCACAAGTAACCAAAGCTATAATGTAAATCTAAACATAATCTCAGTCTATAAATTAAGAATTTCCTTCCTTTACTAAAAAACTAAAAAAAAAAATAACTAAAAATTTTGTGACTTGAAATTTGTTTTTTTTTCTATAAAATCACTAAATGGCAGTCTCTGCATTTATTAAAAAAAAAAAATACAAAATTTCCTAAAAATATACATGAAAAAGAATATAGTCTATGTTCAAACGTGATATCACAGAGGCAGCAAACAGAACTGCAGGTCTTTAATGGTCAACAATGTGACCCATGAGGTAGATGGGAAGCATAACTTCATTCTACTGGCCTGAGAACAAACACAGCATCATCCAGGACATAGAAGTCTTTATACAGGTCTCCCTCACAGAGGTAGGGCAGTCGTGTCACTGCCTCCACCTCAAACCCCGCCCCCCTGAACACATCATTGGACAGGTGAGTGACCTGCTCCTCCCACACCTTTCCACCGACTTTCAAGTGTTCTTCTGGCCGCTCCCACTTGCCACCTGAAAGAGGAACAAAGTGCAATTCCAGCAACATGGATATCATGAAGAAACCAAAAGCAGCCATGTCATGTACAAGCATGTCTTCTTCAGGGTACGGAGCGAAAGTGTAAGTCTGGCGCATACAAATTAAACTTCACAGCTTAGACGCAGTTTGGAGCTTCCGTTTTCACCTGGATCTTGACAGGCCCAAAACAATCCGTCCCCTTACCGATTTCCACGTAAGGCTGGAAAGGCAGCACCACAGCGAGGACCAGCCTCCCTGTGCCTGGAACCAGGGAGTGCTTGATGTCCCTGAGCAGAGCAAGAGGATGGTCACAGCGGTCCAAGAGATTCAGACAGCTAATCACATCATACTGGAAGCCCACTGAATGCCACTCGTCGATGTCCAGAACCCTGACAAAGACAGAAGGTCAACACAACTGCTTTAAAACAACTGTAACACAGAGGCAAAACATTCCAATTTACTCAAAATATATGATTCAGGACAGGTCTTCAAACTTTTGCAGAAGTACCTAGTCTATTCTAGGTTAGTCATACTAACACTAATAACTTTTAAGCCGTGAAGAGTGGAAGGTGAAAAAAAATACTGCATTACAAGCAGCTACCACCCTCCTGAGGGGGGGTTAAAAACAAATCATTATTCATTGGACAACAACCCCCTGATTATCACATGATTTTGGTATCATTTGTAGCGGTGATGTTCTGAGCCGACGTCAAAGATTTTTTTAATTGATTGGTAATCCAAAGCCTGATCCATTTAATTTCCTGAGTCCGCCCAATTCACACACTGTGCAGATTGTAAGGTTCTGTCATACGCTGCAGTAAGCCTGATGCAAATGGCTTGAATCTACAAAATACCGAGATGTAAGCCGTGTGGAAACTCTTTAAATTGGAAACTCAAGTAGCCCAACGGTTACCCGCAAAGTTTGCGATGCCATCCTTTCGAGAGATAGCATCAAGAGAAGGTTATTTAGTACAACAAACCTAATGTGGCGCTTGAAGAAACAGCATAAGGAAGAATACTGCGTAACCGTGAGGCTTATTCGGACAAACGATGAACCATTGCATACTGTATGTATATGTTTATTTAAATATCTATTAAAAGATCAGATCTATTAAAAGATCAGACTCAAAATTGGCAAATAAAAAATTAAATGGATCAGATTGGAATACCAAAAAAGTGGATTGGGACATGCTTAATTCCCTAATATCTTATACATATAGAAATTAACCTTAATTAATGGAGTAGGTGCTTTCCATGACATCACTTTCCTACTGAAACCAACAGGGGCAACATGTGACAACGTAATGGTTGTGGGTCTGAAACATTAAACAGTTCAGAATGAAAGCTATAGAGACTGCAGACTACCAGCCTCACGTTCCCCGCCATGCCACACTGCCTTACGTGTAGTTCTTTTTCTGGAGCTGCCACCTCATAGGGGCAGACACTTCTGTAGTGTAGACCTCCTGGAAGTGTTTGGCCATGACATCAGTGACACCCCCATCCCCGGCGCCCAGGTCCAGAAGCCTGTTGCCCTGCCAGTCCGAGCTAATCTGGAGGAGCCTGCGGAACTGGTCACCGGAGAAGACGAACATGGAGCCCCTGCCCAGGAACCTGCAAGGCCAATGGAGAGCGAATGCTGAGACGACACCGGAACGCACAACATGAGAGGAAACACAAGTTTGACTGTGGAATGTCAGTTACTGAGGTTTAAGAAGAACCAGGGTATAATGAGAAACCACATGCCGAGAGAGGCTGCTAAAGCAGGGATTCCCAATCCGGTGCTTGGGGACCCACAGACAGTCCATGTTTTTGCTCCCTCCCTCCCACCGGGAGCTGGGAGGGAGCAAAAATGTGGGTCCTTGAGGGCTGGATTGGAGAACACTGAGCTAAAGTCTTAAAAGACAAGGAGGGTTACCCGTTTATGGAAGTGCGGGAGACGATGGGGCTGAAGATAGTGGAGAAAAAGGAGTGATAGAGCTGTGTGAAGAGCCAGCCAGACTTTTCCTCACTACACTTTAGGAAAGCCTGGGTGTCCGGGTCCAGGTGGCTCTGGACAAACAACGGCCGCAGGGACTCGCCCAGGCTGTCCGGACAGCAGCGGTACCACTGAAACACCACCACACAGCAACATCAGTGCGGCCACCTGGAAACACCACACTTACAGAACTTCACAGCCTCTGATACTCGTGGAAACAGTCTTTAAAAGGAGCAAGAAGAATTAATCCAAAGACATTTACTTTTTACTTTTTCAAATTCACCTATATCAGTGTTTCTCAACCCAGTCCCCGGGGACCCCCCAGGAAAGTCCACTTTTTTGTGCCCCCTGCCAGCCCCGCCTCACATCTGAACAAAACATTGAAGAACATGTTGAGAAGGGGGGGGGGTTCCTCTTAGCCTTTCACCAACTGGGGTAGGGGTCCCCCTCGGCATATTTCACCAACCATTTTGGGACAGGAGCATTTTTTTTAGGGTGGGGGGGTGACACCTGAGATTTCAAACTCGTTATTTTAATTATTTTACGTCCTGGCTACTTGCCCGATCGGGAGCAGATCGGGGCAGGGGCGGCCGGGAAGGGAGGGGTGCTTCGTGCCTGACCTAAACTACCATCCTGTAGCTAGAGAAAGGACAAGTTTGTCTGTAATCAAAGACAATTATTTAATTGATTGTCAAGCTCTATAAATGATATGATTGAGGGCATAAAACAACGTATTGGCCCTAAAAAATAACCCAAAACAGCCGCCAGAGCTTTAAAAAAATTCCAACTTATATAGATACATATATATAAACTACAGGGTAAGACCGGCTGCCTTGTGCCCTCTGCTGCCTGGACCTGACTCTGACCCTAACCCAAGTAGCCCTGAGCAGGATTAGCAGTCGGAATTCGGACGAATGGATGTTAATCGTCCTCAAGTGACATACCTCCGGCGCTGCGCTCTCTCCTTCTTTCACCATGCTGAAGATCAGCGTCCGGGCCAGCGGACTCCGCACGTATTTGCCCGTCCACATCCGTCGGATCGTAAGTAGTGAGGAAACGTAGACTATGATCCACGCCACGAAGACCAGGGACCTCATCTGTGAGTGACACATTTCACGTTAAGACGTACACGTCCCAGCCCAGACGCAGCCGGGAACATTATAAAGAGAACAGTGTCCAGTTGAATGGATACACGCCGATGTCTTTGGCTAAATAACAACAGCAAACATACCCGTGGGTGTGGTGAGATTTTACGGAAAACAACATCGCTTTTCGAAGTTTGTTTTGCTAATGCTTAAACTAAAGCAACGTGTTAACTTTAGCCTCTCCCAAAACCGGTCGGGACCGCCTCCTCAGTCACGTTTTCTTCCTGTGCCACACTAAAATATGTCCCGCGGCGCGTGCCCATCCCATAAATATATCCACTGTTGAAATCCGTTTGTCTGGAATATGCAGATTCGCGCATTTTAAACCATCATTGGGGGAAGTGCAACGTGCAACTAAAAGTAATATATGCATGTCAATACCGATCAATACACTTCAGCGTACTTCATTATACAGGGGACACCTCCTACCTCCCCTGCAGGAGCAATAGTAGAGCCAGTAAGGAATTTCTTAGATTTAGCTTAGATGGGAAACAATTATCATGAATTTCTACTATAAATAATTACATTTCTAATTAAAAGCCCGACTGAGTGATGACTATGATCTATATGACTCGCGGCATTTTTCAGTTTGACAGTCATGCACTGTTTACCTTCCTTTGCTGCTAGTGTTTTGTACAAGAAACAAAAAGTCAATGACAGTTCATCTACATGCATGGCAATGCGATGCAGATGTTCATTTGAGTATTAAGTCTTTTAATTACTTTATATTATTCTCGCTCTTGAAACTTGGAACTGTACTTAAAGCCTTCAGGTTACATGTATGGATTCTTTAATATTCAGTTAATGCAATAAGCAGCTCTTATGATTGTTCTATTTTATATTTCAGGCATCGGCTTTGGACATTGAAAATGTGTGCCGTGTTTTTTTTTTTTTTTGAGGGGCAGCTGTTCTGACCCACTCCCCTTGCAAAACGACGCTAGTTTTAATAATAATAATAATAATAATAATAATAAAAACTCTAGTCATGTAATTTAGGCCAATCAATGTCTATCGCACAAACCTGGTTTGATGTGCCAATGAATTTTAAATTAAGCATCTGCGGTTTGGCTTCTTGGATTGGTTGAGTGTTCACTAGTTTTGCGTTAAGCAGTTGCAGAACCAAGACCCGTTTATACGGGTTAATTCTAGGATTGGGGCTGGGAAATCTGATCGAGGATCAGCATAGGATATGCTTTGGGTCGCGACCCATGGGGTTGAGAGTCGCTGGTTTAGATCATATATTTTATAGTGTAGTGTAGTATACATTTCTATCCACTAGATGCCACTTTTGTAGGCAGTCTAATATAAAATATTTAAATAGACGTTATTCTGTTAGGGGCATTTTAAAATTAAATTTATTTATACTCTAACATTTCAGATCAATTCAATATGTCGACTATATTAAATTCTCCATACAAATACTTACAATTCTTCAAAATATTAGTGGGCGCATTGACATAAAATGTGCCATGCTAGATTATACAATAAATGTAAAAAACAAAACAGTGAAAGGCACGCCGTGGAGGTGTATATGAAAGCCAGCACCCAGCTGATGCCCGGCGTGACGTCACAGTATAATTGCTCCATGTCGCTGCGCCGCTTATCGGCTGATTCTGCACCGGGCTGGACTGAGCGCAGTTTGTTCAGGGCGAGCGAGCGGAGCTGCAGCGGTGTAGCCGGGTACGGGAAAAGGGGAAGGAAACTCGGCTGAAGGGACGGGGCGCCGGCTCAGAGTGGTGGGGGATACAGGATAAGATCAGGGAGAAGATGCTGACCGACATGATTGTGGAGGAAGAGTTTGAAATTAAAGAGGAAGAACCCTGGTATGATCAGCAGGACCTTGAACGGGGTGAGTGGCTGCGCTCCAGGCGGATGCGGCGAACACGCACCTGAAACGGCTCTTAATAAAAGTCTGTCCGTCGCTTTTGCCGATGCATAAATAACAGTGCGGGGAAAGTAGAGGTCTAAATTTTATTAGAAAACTTGCCTGTGGAAAATCGGATCATCTTCTAATCGTGTAATCCCTTTTGCAGCTATAGAGCTGCCTTAAGGCGAATGAATAAATAAAATGTTTCCTAACTAATATAACCCGGTGGCTTTCTCATCATTGTAACATCTAAACCCATCATCAGCGTCAAACTGAGCTTGTTGTTATTTAAATACACACATAAGGCCTGTAAAACAATATATGCAGATTACCGTGACAGTTCACATTAAGATGTACTGTATTAATGTGGCTATGTGCGTTTGTAACTTAAGTGTAATAAACATAATATAAACTTAATTGTCAACTGCAATGTTAGTCCGGCTTAAAACGACTTGGGGACGTAGTCGGCTGTCTGACATCAAATAGCAGTAGTTTTATAGTAACAACTTTAAATTTACTGCAACTGACAACTCAGTGAGGCATTTTAAAGACTCGGGAAAAGAAACGGGAAACGCAAACCCTTCAAAAGAGCCTATTGAATTAATGGTTTGACTTAATTCATATTGGTTTTTTAGTAGTAAATTTAGTCAGCCAGCTAACTTTTATTGCATTTTCTTGCACCAAGTCCTGTAATAATTGGTTCAGCAATCCATGTGTTGCGGCAACATGAAACGGCAATAAATATAATAGCGGAGCGTTGGTGATAAAAGTAAAGTATTTGCTAATTAAGCAAAAAGGCCCAAGCATTAGATAACGGGTCATTAGTTCAAAGTCATTACACTGATAGTTTTATTGGTTGAAACGCAGCTGTTGATTTGCTAGCATGCATAAGTAACAATATTGAATTATTCAGTAAATTTTGTGAATGGAAATTCTCATTTTAGAATCGGCGACGCTGTGATGCAGGGCTCGGTTCCCTTTGCCAGCTAACCTGGTGCCTGTGTGTAGGTACTGACGTGTGCTAGAAAGGTCTAGCAAGGCAGTTAGGTTAATTTTTTTTATTTGGAGAAACGATGACATTTGTTGATGTTGAAAATTCTCAAGTTAGATTTGTATGAGTGAGAGCATTCACTAAGATTAGGTAAAGTGTAAAATTTGGCCCAAGACATTTCACATTTAACTTGTTTCTCAGTCGAGAAATGTCACGTTTTAAATATTGTTTTCACGACAATAAATAATATCCCTTACTTTTGCCAATCTACGCCTTATTTCTTTCAAAAACCGCACTGAAAATATCCATTGAAATGTATCGATTTTCAGCATTGTTCAGCTAAAATATTGGTCAATTTCATCGTATATGTCCCTCATAAATGCATATAAAAACATCCGCTAAACTCTGTTCTAAAGTAAAGCTCGAACGGCGAAGTTTTTCAGGAAATTCGTAACGAAACCTCACCATCAACTGCGGAAACCGTTTCCGCTGTGGAATTGAACGGGACGTCCCTATAGTCAAGTAATAAAATAATTTGTATTATTTTTCATGTGTGGTGGTAAGATGGGTGGCCACGTATTTAGCCACCCCATGGATATTCCACTGGGTACCCCAATAACCATATCTCAAAAACCATTAAAAAGAATGATTAGATATTTTTTGGTGTTTTTATTTGGTATCAAAATAAAACATTGACTTAAAAATGACTTAAATCTAACTTGGGCCATTTCACCTGCTGGTGTCTATTAATATTGTGAAGGTTTATTTATTAAAACAAATATGCATTCAATTATTTTGGTTGGTTTGTTTTTTCCCCTGATCTCAGTGCCCATCCAGTGTTGTTTGCATGTTAATGGAGCTGGTGACCAGCATACTGTTTGCTGTGGTTACAGACCTGCATCTGGCTGCTGAACTGGGGAAGACGCTGCTGGACAGGAACCGGGAGCTGGAGGAGGGGATGCAACAGCTGTACACCACCAACCAGGAGCAGCTGCAGGAGATTGAGGTAACGCGGTGCCGTCATTTATCCATCGGACACCCGTCAGCCATTTTTGCGGTTGAAGCAGTGATTGGGCACCTGTGAGAGTATATGCTTTCCTCTGTATTGATATGAAAATGCCTTGCTCATCTTTGCATTTTAAATAAACTCAGTCAATTCAAGAGTTTTGTCACAGGTATACAGGGTATTGGAAATGCAAGCAGACGATACAGTGCAATTAAATAAACAAATTAAAAAAATTCACATATATGAATAAAAAAAAAATACGAGAATGGATGGCATGGTGGTGCAGTGGTTTGCACTGTTGTCTCACTCCTCTGGAACCTGAGTTCAAGTCTCTGCCAGGGTTCCATGTTTGTGGAGTGTGCATGTTCTCACCGTGTCGTCGTGAGGTTTCCTCCAGCTACTCTGGTTTCCCCCCCCACAGTCCAAAAACATGCTGAGGCTTTGTGGAGA